CAGTCATTCTACATCTATTTGCAGATCCTTGTATTTTGTGATCTTCTCCAGTTCTTTCTATTCTGCTGTCTCTAGATACTGTTTTATTATTCTTTTGGATTTAGCCATGGGTTTGGGTTTGCAGCCATGGGTTTGGGTTTAATGTCTTCCATGAGCCCAGGTTAAAAGTCCTGTATACTACTTTATATCTTTCTTTAGAGGAAAGCTAGCTGCTACTTGAAGTCTTTTGTGGTTTCTTAATTTATGAAAGATAATTTTTATTTAAGTGGGATTTATTATTTCAGCACTGAAGAACTTTTAATTTTATGATTTAGCTATTGATATTGTCGAAAGTCCTAACCTATTTTCTGATATGGTTAGCTACATAGCCAACTAGTCCAGGGCTTGCTGATCTGCTGTGCCAAATAATCCAGTGAAGATTATTATAAAATAAGGAACTATCAGGGCTTTTTTTCTCATAGAACGCCCAGAACGGAGTTCTGGCACCTTTTTTGGATGGAACCTTGTAGGGTAGGCAAGGCGGGTTGTATGACGTGTGTGAGTTCCGGCACCTTTTTTTTTTAAAAAAAAGAAAAAAAGCATTGGGAACTATTATTAATAAATGGCAAGATATCATAAGAATAATCACAGTGGTTTGAACTCAAAATAGATATCTTCGTGAATAAATTAAGCCCTGGTAGTTTTCTAAATCTTGTTAACATATGAAGTGTGAAAAAATAGTGATGTGCACTCTCTTTCTTTCTAGGCATCTTCTTCCATGTGTCAGGACTAAGACACTGAAGTAGAATTAGGGAAACCTATCCAGCCACTTGTTCACTGGATGACTGAACAAGTGACTCTCTCTCAGCCCAACCTACCTTATGGACCATTATTCTAAACAAAAGGGGTTTAGAGCCCTGAAGGCCCATCTATTCCGTGCGGCCGGCCTGGCGTAGTTTGGATTGTGTTTCAGTGGGGGTTTTTGTATGGGTGTGTTTTTAGAACAGGCCTATTATTCAATTCGATTTTAAAACAGAAACTATTTATTTATTCTTGGTTTTTAGTATTGCCTGTTCACCGCCCTGAGTCCCACAAGGGAGATAGGGCGGTATGTATGTATGTATGTATGTATGTATATATATATATATATATATATATATATATATATATATATATATATATAAATAAATAGCAGTCTAAACTAAGAGTAACTTAAAAAAATAAAAATAACAATGTGACTTTCTTCACCCAGCATCTAAATCTTAACATGGGTAAATTTGATTTTGACTAAACACCTTATGTGTCCCATATGAACACAACATTGAGAAGAACCATGTTTATTGCAAAATAGATTGTGTGCCTGCTTTAGAAGAGGGACCTTGAACAATGGAGAAGATTATTACAGAGTTTGAGGGCTACAGGGTGGGACATTTTATGGAATCCAGTTTGCTGCCAGTTTGGGATTGCTAGGCAGGTCTTCGTTAGTGTACTTGGGGTCAGTACTATTGTGAAGCAAAATGGGTCTTTCAGGAGGGCAGCAGAGCTGAAGAAGTACATTGTGAAGAAAATGGAATGCTGAGGTCATCAGCTGATGTAGGGTGGAAGGTTGGGGTTTCTGTAAGTTGTAATTTATTATAAGGGCTGCCCTTGGGCTGTGTTATGAACAAGTGAGGAGGCCTCTCCTCTTCAGTTTTATGAAATTGCATGGGCTTTGCCTGGGGCAGGTAGGGAGGGTCAATTTAAGTCTGATGAGATTAGGCAAAGAGAGGGACTGATTTTGACCCCAGTCATATCTAAAAGACAGGGGAAGGGGAAGATTGCAGTCTCTTTTTCTTTGTTACATTTATTTTCTCCAGTACAATAAAATATCCCAGTTTGACTTCTATGTTTTGAGTTAAAGAAGACAGAAGTATTAGTGTGTTTTCTTTTTTCAAATTATGTTGGGGGTGGGTGGGTGGGAAACTATCACAAGTAAAATTAAATAGCTCTGCTAGAATTCTTCTTCCTGACGTGCTGGGTTTGTTCTTGTTTTATAATATGCAAAGATCTTTGTTTTGTATGATGAAGCATCCAGTCAGATGAGGTTAAAAATGGGAGAATCTACAGGGAGTTTAACAATATAACTGAAAAGTTATTGAACTCCATGACTGCTGCTATTATTAAGATTGTTGGAAGCGTTTGAAAGAGATGCTTCACAAAGAGTGAGAATACAATGAAACACTTCTCTTCAGTTTAAGCTGCTGCATTTTGAGCATGAGCCTTGCAACAGGTTGAGAATTACTTTTTCGAATTTTTTGCTTGGTTCTAAATTTTATGGTATCAAGTATTTCCCTTTTTAAAAAAATGTTTATCCATTATTTCACTGAATAATCATTACTGATAATTTCCTAGCAGTGTAAATCAAGAATGCCCTCTTGTGTGTAGAATGAAGAATAGCACATTAATCTGACAGAAAGTGGCATGGATTGACAGTCATGAGAGTTGAAAATAGTTCCAGAAGGGCTTTATCTAAAACATATTTTGTGTATGTTTATGTTTGAGAGAGAATGATTATTTTTATGTTCATGTGAGTGCAAAACAGTTATTGGAGATAAAACTTCTGCACTTATATTGGAAATAAACATGAGATAAATGCATTAATTATAAGCATTTCCCATTTTACAGAGAAGACTCAAAATGCTAGAATATGTCCTTTTCCTAATCAAGCTATCATTCCAAACAATGTCTAATTACAGTGAACAAGACCATTAGTAAAATACATGCAATATGTGCAATCAAATTGGCCTTCTTTATTTCAATATTCCATCTATTCACTAAGATCCCAAACACGAAATGTAAATTTCATGCAGAACAAAAAGATTAAAAGAGAAGTATAATTAAAAAATGCTTCTGATCAAAGAGGACACAATTTAGTTTATAGTACATTGTGTTTGTTCTCCTAGTTTCACTGCCAGACTGGCAATGGTTTACAGTTAAAGAACCTTGTTAGAAATAAATGCTAGAGCTTACTTCTTATTTCTTGTAAGATTTTTTTTTGTCTTTTAGTATTTCGTATTTTTATAGTAAAATAAGAGAATATGTTTTATAACTGAAGAACTAATGGGCATATCTGTTGAAGTCACAATCATTCCATTGCTCAACTCGCACTATGAATTCTCCATATGAGTATGGGTTTCATGGTTTCAGAGATAACATGTGGAAAATTTCTTTTCTCAAGGTGAAAGAGTTAATGGTTGGGGTCAGTAGGTCAGATACCTACTGAAACTACACTCTTCTTTGAAAAGTGACAAAATTAGTGGACCAAATTAAAACTGCATATAATTTTCCTGGACTTCAGTAAGGCATTTGATAAAGTAGGTCATAACCTGTTATTTGATAATGTATTAGACAGACTAATCCATCATCACCAGATGGATTAATAACTGACTGACCAATGGCATTCAATGTGTAGTCCTTAATGGAACTGCATTTACATGGAGGGAAGTATGCAGTGAGGTACCTCGAGGTTCTGCCTTAGACCCAGTACACTTCAATATCGTAATCAATGATTTAGACAAGGGGATAGAAGGAAACTCATCAAATTTGCAGATAACATCAAACTGGGGGAAGGGGGAATAGCCAATGCCCCATAAAATAGGTTCAAAATACAAAAATATCGCGACAGACTTGAACAATGAGCTCTATCTAACAAAATGATTTTCATTAATGAGAAAAATAAGGTTTTACACTTAGGCAAGAAAACCCAAATGCACAGATATAGAATAGATGGTACCTGGTTCAGTAGTACTAACTATGAGAAAGATCTTGGAGTCTTAATGGACAATCACTTAAATATGAGCCAGCAGTGTGCTGCAGCCACCAAAAAAGCCAACACAGACCTGGGCTGCATTTACAGAGGGATAGAATCAAAACCACATGAAGTATTAGTACCACTTTATAATGCCTTGAGAAGACCACATTTGGAATATTGTATCCAGGCTTGGTTGCCATAATACAAAAAGGTGTATCTAGAAAGAGTGCAGAGTGCAAGAGAAGAGCAACAAAGACCGTTAGGGGACTGGAGACTAAAACATTTGAATGGTCGCAGGAATGTGCAGGTTGTCTAGTCCTAAGAAGGACTAGGAGTGACTTGATACGGGTGTTCCAATATTTGAAGGGCTGCCACAAAGAAGAGGGGATCAACCTATTCTCCAAAGCACCTGAAGGCTAGACAAGAAACCATGAATGGAAATTAATCAAGGAGAGAACCATTCTAGAAATAAGGAGAAATTTCCTAACAGAACAATTTATCAGTGAAATGGCTTGCCTTCAAAAGTTGTGGGTACTCCAACAGTGGAGGTTTTTAAGAAGAGATTGGACAGCTATTTGTCTGAAATGGTATAGGGTTTCCTGCTTGAACAGGGGGTTGGACAAGAAGATCTCCATGGTCCCTTCCAACTCTGTTATTCTGTTAAGCGCTATAATTTTTCTTGTGATGATGCATGGAAGGATAGATGGATATAACAGTTTTAAAAGGAACTCTTATTTGCAAGTTGGTATATATCAAGAGGAATTAATTTTGATATTTTTTTTTTGCTGGCTCTTCACTGTTTTCATTTTTCTGTCAGCTTCTTTTTCCAAGTCAAAAGCTGCTTTTTTTCCTCTTCGCTTCCCTCGCCTGCTTCCAGTTTGCTTGCTTTTGAAATAGCTAGTTCAAAATTCCAAATATTGTTATCTATTTTAAAAAAATGTGTTAATGATCATTACTATTTAAGATTTTTTTGTGTGTGTGAATGTTGCAAGGACAAGCCAATCATTTCTATCCAGAAAGAGAGAAGGTGGAATTATAATTGTTATTAAGGTTGGCTGATTGGTGCAATGAAATCAGTTTCCCCAGCACAAACAGACAAAACACACACAGATCGTCTCCTTCCCTTAGGCAGACAAAGGTGAAAAGATGAATAGATGCATCCAAATGTAGAGAACAATGATTATCAAAACATTTGACCTGACTGATGAAATTTAACTCATTTGATGCTTACCTTTTCCTGATGGGAAGAAGCAGTCCATTTCTACACTGCTCCGGGAATGGGAGATGCAGAGAGCACTGCTGGGGACCAGACCTTCTTGAGGTGGACTCCTTTCTGTGGTCCGCACCAGACACCAGCCTGGCCGTTCACTTGGCCTTTCGAGTAACTCCACAGTCTGTCCCACCTGAATACTCAGTTCACTGCTGTGACTGGCAACAAAGTCTTGCAGCACCACAGTTAGTTCACATCCTCCAGACAGCTATGAGGAAAGAAGAAGAAAGAGAAGTAGACTACATCTGACTGAATATAACAATATCTTACTGAGGTGCGGTGGCCTAGCTGTTAAGATACTGGGCTTTATCGGCCAGAAGGTAGGCAGTTTGAGACCCAAGCATTATGAGATGGAGTGAGCTCCATTTCCTGCCTCAGCATCTACCAACCTAACAGTCTGAATGCAAATAGATAAATAGATACCAGTTCAGGGGGAAGATAACAGCATTCCATATGTCTCGGCATATAGTCATATAGGAAACTTCTTCACATAGCCCTCGGCTAGGAAATGTTGATGAGCACAATCTCCTAGAGTCAGACATGACTGGACAGGGGAAACCTTTACCTTTTTAAAACAATATCTTAGGTTATACTGAACCCTGATGCCCAGCGTCCTTGCTCACTTCTTTTTTAAAAATCTTAATTTTGATTGTTTAGAGTAGGCATACACATGCAGCCTTGTGTGGTGTACCAGCCCTTTTTGAAATATAACCCATTGCGGCCAAATGCCTCTATTGTCAAGCTGGATGTGCCACCAAGGTTATGGAACCACATCTGTCTCAAAATATATGCTACCAAGTGTCCTCCAACACCTCAGGACCCACGAATACTATCAGCTCCAACTGCTATAGTCACACAGCTAGCTAACAAACAGCTGTTCAGTATGCCATCTGTTATTTGTGGTTTGGAATTATTTTTAATCTACCAGGCTGGCCCTTTCCCTATCTAGAAGTTGTGCAGGCCTGATTCAGAATTAGAGCTAATTACGTGTAACAAATTAAGTTGGTTCTATTATTTGCTGTAGTTTTTCACATTCTGTGGCTTCTAAATCCTATTCGAATAGATAATTTGTTATCAGCTATCACTGATCTGGACCAAATCAGAAGTAAGGAGGAATTACTATCAGGAACACCACTCTGGGTGGAAAACTGAATGTTGTTACTTCAAGAGATTTGAACATTCTGACTTTGATATATCATTACTAACAAGATATTTCTTTTTATCATGTGCTAAATGCCACTTAAGGTGTAGGTTGAACCATGACTCTAGTTTATTTGGATTCCAGCCAGATTAATTACACTGATATTCACTAAGTACAGGAAGTAGTAGCTACAAGAAAATTATTTGGAGAATTAATTTTCATTATGACTGTAGGCAGCACTTCTAACCTCCTTGAAAGAATTCTTAGCTTTTCTTTCAGTTCAACAAGCTGTTTAGTAGCAAAGGTGTTAACGAGTAGTGTGAGTCAGAATGTCATGGTTTGCTCCCGCTAAGGAAAATAAAAAGGAGTTGTTTAGCTGATTTATTCCAGTGTTGTTGAAAGTTAATTCCATGTTTCCATAGCAAATGATACCAACAATTTTAGAAACTGTTTCCCCCTCTATCAGTGATTAATTACACTGACCACCAGGAGGCACAGTGTTACTGGTTTCATCATTATTGGGAGTCATCAGATATGGATAGTAGGATGTTGTTTTATGGAATTGAGCTGACATAAATTTGCACTTTAAATGACTATATATATGGCATCAACTTTAGGAATTATCCATGTCCTGGCACTCAGCAGTTTCAGGAAGAGATTTCTAGAAGGAGGTCTGATAGTTTCTATCAATAATTCTTCATTATGGCATCATATAGTGCTTATTATTAGTTATTTTGTACTAAAGTCCACATTCAGTTGCTGAGAAGTTCTGTTTCCTTTATGCCTGCTTCTGGTCTTCTGTAAAAGGCATAGGGCAGTGATGGCGAACCTTTCAGAGACCGAGTGCCCAAACTGCAACCCAAAACCCACTTATGTATCGTCAGGTGCCCGGTGGGCATGGCCCATTGGGTGGGTGTGGCCCAATGGGTGGGCGTGGCTGCGGTGGTAACAGCAGACTGGGTGGGACTAAAAAGTTCAATCAATCAATTCCAACTTTGCAAGATCTTTTTTTCCCCCCGCAAGAAGTTGAAATTGATTGATTGAACTTTTTTTTTTGCACATGGTGGTGGAGGCCTAAAGCGAAAAGGTTTTATAAAACCCAGCTGAAGGCCTAGGACTGGGGCAACGGCACGCATGCCCACAGAGAGGGCTCTGCGTGCCATCTGTGACACGCGTGCCATAGGTTCGCCACCACAGGCATAGGGAATGGCCTTGAAAGACCAAAGGAAGAGCTGTTACCAATGCAACAATCAGATGTGTCTTGAGCCTACACCAAGAAGCTAATTTGAATAAAAGTCTCAGACTCCCCTCCCCCAGTTCACACAAAGACAAAGGCCAGGGACAGGGAAAAGATATTCAGACTTGCAAAATTCTGCTACTATAGTTGTTAAAATAAATTGGTTTCTTAGTCTGGTCTACTTTATATTGCTGGTAGCTTCTCAGACATGATTGGTTCACCATTGGCTGTGCTAGACATACACTGAGTGCGGGGGAATTTACTCCTAGGTAACCACTGTGGTAAGTTATATTGGACTACATATTTATTTATTGATCATATTTATATGGCCACCCATCTCACATAGCACAACTCTGGATGGTGTACATGCAGCCATAAAAATTCAATTTCAAAACATTTCAAAAAGTACCAAAAATTCAATATCATTATAAAAGGCTAAGAGAGAGCATTGGATTATATACAGTGGAACCACCTATTCAAATTAGCATTCCTTTATGAGCCCCAGACCTATTGACACAATCAAGTTTTAATGGCTCTCCGGAAGGTTAGGAGAGATAGGGCCACTCTCATATCAGGGAGAATGATGTTCCATAGGGTGGGTTCCATGGCAGAATAGGTTCATCTCCTGGGTCCTGTCAAACATTGGGGAAATCAGGAGATTCAGGCAGTTCAAATCAGCATGAAGATTTATTGCAAGCTTAAACTCTCTACAAGAATCTGACTAATGGTCAAGAGAAATGAGCAGGAGATAAGAGAGACATTCAAGGTGGGCTAAACTTAGATTTCTTGCGAGAGCACAGAGACTCGTGACTTATGACATATTTGACCCCTCCCTCGGGCTCAGTCTGGTCATCTCCTACAGTTTCTGTCAGATATAACTCCTTAGAGACATGATGTGCAGATGGGGCAGGCGATGTAATTGGAAAGAGATGGTCCCTCAAATAATGCAACTCCCTGCCACAAAGGGCATAAAGATAAAAATCAGCACTGTTGATGTTGTCTGCCAAGCATGAATTTTTCATATGCTTTCATAATTTATGATAAAAGCACAGACTATGATGACAGTGAAAAATTAACATTACATGAGTAAATGTTCGTTGCCTATGCGCATCCGTTACCGTTTATTCATTTTCCTTAACATCCTTTTCCAGGGCAACTACATATCTGTGTTCAATAAAAGGAGTTAATGTGAACATGTAACTGAGCAAAAACAAACAAGAAAAAAATGTGCAGGGTGATGGATATGACGGATAGGAAATAGCTAATATCATTGCTGGTATTGTAAAATGTAATGAGTTTTCCAGCTAACACTAACATCAAATGCTATAACAATGGACAACAAAAATGGCCTTTTAAAAATAGGCTATGGCAGCTTTTCCCAACCTGAATACTTTCTAGCTATGTGGGCTTCAACCTCCAGAATTTTCACCAAAGGCCTTACTAGTTGGGGAATGGAAATCCATGTTTCTGGAACTTCTGAAAGGCTAGTCTTAATAACATAGGTGGTGGTGCTAGAGCAAAGCTTTTCTGCCAAATTTTCTACCCCTTTGTAAACATTCATTTAGTGACCATTCAGTTTTAAGGGCAGTGCAAAAAGTGACTTATAGCCTATTTTGACTTATAACCGTTACAGCATTCCCATGGTCACGTGACCAAAATTCGGGCGCTTGGCAACTGGCATGTATTCATGACAGTTGCATTGTCCTGCGGTCATGTGATTACTATTTGTAATCTTCCCAGCTGCCTCCCAACAAATATAGTCTATAGGGGGAGCCAGACTCATTTAATGACTGCATGATTCACTCAACAACTGCAGTGATTCACTTAACAACTGTGGGAAAATTATAAAATGGGGCAAAACTCACTTAACAACTCTTGCTTAACAACAGAAATTTTGGGCTCAATTGTGGTTCTAAGTTGAACACTACCTGTATTTATTCATGTATGGAGTAAATTATTACAGCTTAAAAAAAAGCTATTAGATTTTCATGTATCCTGCAGTAAGCAAGACTAGAAAAAGGGAAAGTCTTTTGCAGATCTATATTCAAGGATAGGAACTACTATAGTAAAAGCTGTTGTACTTAGTGTAAGCTATTGTGCTTAAAAATGCTTACTATTAACACTGAAAATAAATGCAAAACATTACCCAACTATGTCACAACTAGCCAAATAACTATGTCTGGTTAGTATTAGCTTTTTCATGCTCTGTATTAATATGTCCTGCATAAAGTAATCTGTGGGAATGCTAAACAACATTGTGAAGATGGTTGCATAAATAAGTTTCTTTAAATAAGAACCATGTTTCCTTTTTCAATGTAGTTTATTCTTCTATTTATCACTCACTGAAATTGTTATAGGCAGTGAGAAAACCTAGATAACGTATAGAATATATGAAAAATCTCATTCGCTAAATATTGCCTAAATCTGCCAAAACATAATTCCTACACACTTAACAAGGTAACTGTCCAGTCTAATTAAAACAAAATATTTTCTGAATACCAGCACGAACTTTCAATTTTTGTTAAAATTGCCAGTATTATTTAGCAGAGTCATATAATTGAGAGACAGAGAACAGGGGAGGCCAGGACATCCACAAATGGTAAAAAGACTATTCCATATCTACACAAGAAGATCAGATGAGTGTCTGTTGAGAAAGATTATATTTTCTATCCCATTTAGATGGGAGCAGGAAAAGCAAAAGAAACTTGACCATCAAACATGTGGGAAGACTGTCAAATGCCCTTTGCTTTTCCTGCTCCCACTTGAGTGAAAGAAAAAAAAAAGACAAAATTGTGGATAAACAGTGAATAATAATTCTTTACCTGATTTT